AGCCACATCATAAAACTAAACACCCCATTCTGTACATCAAGTCCACTGAGTTCTCCAGCCCTGATTAGCACTGGGCTTTTCCCTCTGCGGGTTGTATTACAGTAACATTATAACTGACAGAAAAGGAATCTTTGCTGGGAGCAGTCAAATCCTTCAGACCAATTCAGCTTATGCTGTAGTCACAGTGTGTCACCCTTTCTTTGAAGCCCCTTTGCCAGCTTCCTGTCAATCTCCCTCTGCATCTTTCCCTCCTATCCCTCCCTATCTCTCCCTAGGGGTCCCTGTCCCTTCCCAAGCTCTTTGAATCTCTTTCAATGACAGACAGCCGTGGGTGCTTTGACGCCTGCCTGAAGTCACTGGACAGGGTAGCCCCAACTCACCCCTGAGAATAAATTTAGCCTGTAGGTGATATCCCAGATGGAGAGGTTATCTTTAGCCTGGCAGAGGATGGGAGTCAGTCTGGGCCATGATGTGAAACAGCAGAGGTGGGGGAGGGATGGAGGAGGAACGGAAACTAACACTCAAGAGTGGACAATCATGATGCTCAAATGCACTCAGGTGGTGGAGGATGGAAAGTTGAAAAGTCACGGTATGCTTTCCTGAAACATGAGGCTCTTCCGGGAACACCCTGGAATAATGGTCTGTTTCATTCCATCCATGAACTAGCAACCATTTTAATAGCAGAAAATATAGCTGCATTACGGGCAGGCAGTACAAAACCACAAACGCACGTGTTCTTGAGAAAAAGCAAAAACTCAGCATGATCGGTGGTTTTCAAGCTTTCCCATTCATATCTGTTTAGTACTTGTTCATTAGTTTTGTTGCCTGCAGGTGTTAAATGTTTTAGACTTGAGAAAAACATATGGAAAAAAATTTACATGGAAAAATTACATTACCTGAATTAGAGAAAAAGCCACTACTATTCGATTTTACAGGTAGGGCATCTCAGTCCAGTTCAGGAATATCAAGGGATTGGCTTCGAATGAACTAGGACGCCTATCTCTGAACGATTCAAGAAAGATGGCAGACTTTTCCTTAAGGAGATGATATAAGAAATGGTCCCTTTTTGTTCTCTAAAACCTCTTCTGCCACCGTTCATATCCACAGCCTCTTGTCTGGCCTCTGTTATAGAACAATTGAGCAAATCTTTCAGCAAAACAACTGGGCCCTTAGTTGTGAGTAGGGGAAGCCGAGGTCCTAGTCTGAACCTGAGCAGGAGTCAGACGTGCCCAGGCTTGTCTGACAACTGCACGACGGGCCCAGGGGCCTCCTGGGAGGGCGTGTGTTGCGGGAGAGGAGGCCTGAGAGGCCCGGGTTGACCCAGGAAGACAGCCCTGTTCATTGGAAGCAATTCATTCTGAGTATCCCTTGGCTAAATGTGCTTTTGACTCATATCTGAGTTTTATCCAGAGCAGCAGGACCATAAGGAGAAATGGAAAAGACCATTTTGTTGGAGTTTCGCAGAAATCAGAGTGCAGATGGTAGAGCGTTGGGGCAACGCTATTAGAACATCACACAGAGAGGAGAGGGGCAAAGACCCTTCTTCCTCATTCCCCAGAACTCTGGATGCAGAGTGCCCAGGACTGGCCAGCAGGAGCAGGCCCAGGGCTCCTCGAGAGGCTGTGCAGACGGCTGGATATCCCTTGCAGCCTTAGGTAAAGTGCACAAAGAAGGCACACACTCAGGTGCTGGGTCCTGGGGCACTCAGCTTACTTTACCATGTACTTAAATAATTAAGTCAATTTTTGTCCTTTTCTTCTCTAGATTAAATGATGCTGGTTCTGTCAACCAGTAAGTATACTGAAGGTGCCCTTTATTTTTACGTCATATGAGTGCATTTTGGTCCTCCTTATTTAACTAGAAGTTACCTTATTCACCTCTGTGACTCTCCCTCCTCCCAGTGCAGAGCAAAGTACGAGTAACAGGACATTTATAAATACCTTAATGACAATCTACCCAGTAAATAATCTACCCAGTGAAAAACTGATCTCCATCAGGTATACTCCTATGACCCACCCTGACTGACAGCACACCGGGACCTGTTAAGAGGGCCTAACATTTCCTGTCCTGTGGCCAGCCATGCTTCCTTGGATACTTTTTCCACTACCCACGGATCAGATCTTCTTTTTTTCCATATAGTATTCGGGCTATCCAGGTTTTGTTACTACAGGTTTCTACTCCTAAACATCATTCAGAATGTGCAAGACTAGTTCTTAAGTTCAGCAAAACTTAAACCTCTTTTCCAGAGCACCAACAACCAAAACAGCATTACCATTACCTGCAAATGCCTTGACTATGTCCACAATAACCTCATCAAGTCATCATAAAAAATACAAAAGTATTGTATATATGTGCACATAGCATCTCTGGAAAAAGAAACTCTTAATGGTTACCCCTGGGATGATGAGTTTAAAAAGTCTATGTTGGAGGCAGAATTTTCATTGTATAACCTTTTGAATCACTTCAATTTTAAATCATGTGCTTGTGTTACTCTCCAATTAAATTTCTTATGAGTTAGTTCCAAACAAACAAAAATACGGCAAAGAAGACACAGCCCTGACCCCCTTAGCAGTGGTGCTGACAGGTGCCCATAGCTGATGCCTCACCCTTCGGAGTCAAATGTCCACCACCATGCCATTGGCCCTACGGAGAGCCTCACTGAAATCAACACGGATTATGCAACGAAGTTCCTGGCTCTGGGCCCTCACAGCCCTTTCCCCGTAACTGGGGCAACAAGACTTCCTGCTTTGCCCAGGCCCCAGGACTAATCCTACTCCCAGTCTGGAGGGATTTTAAGGGACTCCAGGCTTGGGCGACTCTACCTTTGTGTTCTCTTGGCAGAGTTGGTCCAAACCTTCCCTAGTAGGGCTATATATCATCTCCATTTTTAGCTTGCTTGATTATCCATCGAGGGGTAAATGAGACACCTATGAGACGAGAAGCCTTTTCTCTTTCCCCCATGTTTTCACCAAATGCAGTTATTAAGAACCTCCTATGTACAGGGTATTTATTAAACCACGCTTGGGGCAGAAGCAGGTGAGGAGGGAAGCAACATCCCAGTGCCCTCACAGAGCTCACAGTCCGGTAAGAAAGAGAGACGGAGCCCAAATCCAAGAGCTTTGCTGTATACAGACAAGTGTGAGAAAGCACACAGGAAGGACTGCCTGCAGTCACTGGTGGGGAGACGGCAGCCCCAGAGAGCTTTCAGGAGGAGATGACACTGTTAAGACTTGACAGCTGGTAAAATTTCAACAGCTGAGATAGTCTTCCAGATCAAGGAAGTGGCCTGGGAAGGTGACCTTGTTTTCACACAATATAAGGATTCTGCCCTACTGCTTTCCCACTCCTTGGAGAAAGAATATAAAGTGGAAGGTGAAAGGAGCTGGGCCTGGAGAACCCAGGACCACAGTTCTTTCTGTTTAAAATTGCCTTCCTCTTGCCACCATGTCTGTCTTGTGAAAACCTACTCTTCAAGGCTCCACCCCTCATAATGTTCCCCTTCCCCCAGACAACAGTCCAGTCTGATTTTCCCAGGCAGGACTGGCCATCCTGGCTTCTGGACTCCCACTGCTCCCTGTCCGTTCCAGAGCATCAGGGAAATTTAGAGGTCCAGTGCCCAGGCTCTGGCGCCTTTCCTGCCTGCGTTCAAATCTCGGCTCAGCCATTGACTACTGAGTCATCTCAAGCAAGCCGCTTGGCCTCTCTGGGCCTTAGTTTCACCATCTGTAAAATAGCACAAGAATGGTACCTCCCTCCTAAAGTCGCTGTGAAGATTAAGCAAGTTAATGACCCTAAAGCATTAGCAAAGAGCCCGCCTTACAGCCCTGCTCAGCGCCTGCTGCTTACAGCCCCAGGCCGCTGTTACTCTTCACTGGACTGTCTGTCTTTGTGGACACGAGAACCTTGAGGGCCAGGATCACGGCTCTGCATCTCTGAATCGCACCCTCCGCCATCCCCACCCCTCTCTCCCAGGTACTTAGAGGTATCCTGCAAGGTAGGTGTTCAATTACTATGTTCCGAAGGAACGAAGAAAATATGGTCATGAAAAGTCCAAACGCAAAAAAAAAAAAAAAAGCAATGCAGGTGAAATGATGGAAAGGAACGTAGAACTGTAAATGCAGGGGATGAGAATTTGCCACAGAGGAGATAAAACCCTATCAGTCTCTCCTCTTCCACCTCTTAACGTGAGGACTGCGCATTTTCCTGCGAACCGTCTTTCTCCCTTCCTCTCCAGCAGCCAGGCCTGGCCGGGCGCTCGTCCTCCCCCTCGCCCTGCCCCGCGGGGCGGTTCTGCCTCCCCCGCCCGGGAACGGCCGCAGCCGCAACCCTGACCTCGGCGCCCACGCAGGGCAGCAGCCGGGCAGCCGGCGGGCGGGGC